TTAAAGCATATATATTTTATTGAATTTTAGTTACTTTGTCTTTATAGCCTCAATTACGAAGACGTTTGTTGACGAAATGTTAGAAAATTACCAATAATTTTAAAATTTATTATAGTTACAACACTTATTTTCTGATACTGTCGTGTATGGACGTCAGTATTTACAAAAATTCGGCAAGTTTAACGCAAAAAAGTTAACATTCTTTTTAAAATACTGGGGTTGTTGAATTTTATTAAACTTTTCTATTCCTGATTAGTTAATAAGTATTTATTTAATAACAATATCACTTGACTGCAATAAAATAATACAGAATTTTAAAAGATTTAAAAGTTTATAAATAATTCTAATTAATTTTAAAAAAATGAAAGCTATTCTTGTAAAAATTTATTGAAGTTTTTCTTTCTTAAGACAATAGTGTCCATAATATATGTTATTTATAAAATAAATTAAAAGAATTTATAATTAAATAATATCTTAGTTTTATTGCATTTTTTTATTTTACGATTCAAAGCAGATTTTCTGTAACTGGGTTTCTTGTTTGACCAAAACGCTTTTATGATTTAAATTCTCCGAGGACTAAAAATAAATACTCCTATAATTAATATAAACATTAAACGAAACAAAAAAGAATTTTTCTAATTTTTATAAAATTCAATGAGTAAGAATAACAGAGTTAAAAAAAACATTTAAAACATTAGTTTAATTCGTTTTTGAATAAGTTTTGAAAATTTGATAAATTGATATAAACTTGTAATCTATATATATATATATATATATATATATATGTAATATATATACATTATATTATTATATGTAATATATATACATTATTATTATTATATGTAATATATATATAATTTGTTAGTTAGCTGATTGATGTTATATGCAGTATTTCGACTGAAGAGAATTGTAGAGGGAACCTCCAGCAATTTCTAGTATCTCCTGATGATTGGACGGAGTGATGGCTGGAGAGACTGCTTACGAAATTCTAGAGACGGGAAGCTGAAAATAACATAAATCAGCTAAGTGACAAATTTTATATTTGTATTAATCATACACATGATCTATCCAAGATATTTTTACCCCATAAATATAGCTTACCTTAAAACAAAGTTTTTAAAGATACAAACATACACACATACAGACACACACAACCCTTTTTGCTAAATCTAGTCAAGTGAACAAACATCATTTGCTATATATTTATGTGGTTCGATATCTGTCTATTTGGACGAGTATTTCCATATTCTTTTCTTATATATATATATATATATATATATATATATATATATATATATATATAGATGTTAGTATGGATCATTATCTTAAGTCTATCTATCTATCTATCTATCTATCTATCTATCTATCTATCTATCTATATATATATATATATATATATATATATAAATCGACAATTTATTATCTATCTATTTAAATATCTAGATCTATTTTTATATATATTCAAAAATATATATATATATATATATATATATATATATATACAAGTGTATGAATGGTGTATACGGTGTCTTATCAAGTGATGATTTTAGAATGAAGGTTGAATGTAGATTGTAGAATCAATGGCTATTTTGTAGTGATTTTATAACATATTTATGTTATAATTTTAAAATAAATAATTATATATATATATATATATATATATATATATATATATATATATATATATATATATATATAGATAGATAGATAGATCGATGTTTGTGTGGATCATTATCTTAAGTCTATCTATCTATCTATATATATATATATATATATCTAAATCGACAATTTATTATCTATCTATTTAAATATCTAGGTCTATTTTATATATATCTACAAATATAAATATATATATATATATATATATATATATATATATATATATATATAATACTTATCTATCTGGATTAGCTTTTTTCAATCGGTGCGTGCGGGCGCACTAATGCGTTCTGAAAGGTATACAGGTGCGCCTCAGTTTAATAGGAGAGTAATTTATATTTAAAAAATCTTTATTTTAAAAGCTAGAGATAGGAAGCACATGGCTTCCATTTCTAAGTCTTTGTCATTTGATATTCTAAATTTGAGGTCTAAATTAAAAATTTCATGATTAAATTTTCCTCATATATATTTAAAATGTGCTCTAGAGATTAGTTATTCTCCAAGTGTGCCTTGAAGTAATAAAAGATGTTGAGAAACACTAGTTTAGATCAATATTTTATATCTATCTATCTATCTATCTATCTATCTCAACATTTTATATCTATTCATCTAAATCTGTTGATATCTCTGTTTTTATATTTGTTCCTCTCTGTCTACTTGTGTGGGTCGATAATTTTTGTGCGACTATGTGAATCGATACCTATCTAGCTATCTACCTGAATCAATATTTGTGTAGATCAATATTTTGATATATACATATATATATATACATATATATATATATGAGAGATAGAGTTTTTCTACGTGCATCTGTTGATTGATATTTGTCAAGCCATTTATCAAACTATTTGTGAAACGATTAATTTCTATGTATCTATGTAAATCGATATTTGTATACCTTGTAGATTGATATTTGTCAATATATTTAGGACGAACTTAGTTTCTCTTTCATATATATATATATATATATATATATATATATATATATATATATATATATATATATAAGATATCGCACACTGTGCGCTGGCATTAATAAAATAGTGATCGATGTAATATAACAGGTCTATTAAGTTTCTATTAATAAATATGCATATTATCCCTCACAGGTAGTACAACTCAAAGTTTCATGCACAACGCAATCTATAGATACTGAGTTGAGACTCTACCCAGCACCACTTGAAACTACGAGACGTGCTACCGGTGAGGGATATATATATATATATATATATATATATATATATATATATATAAGTTGGATTGATGTGAATTTGTGACCCTGGGTGCGACGAAATATGTTAGCTCTATCTCTGATATTGAGCGCTTTCTAATCAGTACCATGCATATAATATATAAATAATTATATATATATATATATATATATATATATATATATATATATATATATATATATATATATATATACACACACACACAGACATATATATATATGCATATATAAAACTAACAAAAAAAGACTTTTCTTCACCAACGCGTTTCGTTTATGTTATAATAAATATTTTATTTACAATTATTTATATAATTATTTTATATATCTTATTTGTTTTTTTTTTTTTTGTTTGTTTGTTTTTTTAACGCAGTTTCATTGATAATGTCCCCCGGGGTTCGAAATGGTTTGGCAAAGAAAAGATTTCCCTTTGTCTTTATTCATACTGTCTTTTTACGGATATATTTTATTTATAGCTGAATTTTTAGATACACACACACATACATACAAACTCACACACACACACACACACACACACACACATATATATATATATACTGATCAATACTTATTTCGCCATTTATCCATTTCAGTTGATCAATATTTATCGCTTTATGCCAGTCAGTATATGTCTATATCGATCAATATTTGTTTATGTTGTTCGATACCTATCTTGTGAATTGATATTTCCTAAGTACAAAGCCGAATGATGGTGCGTCCAGTAAGAATCGAACCCACTGTTCTGTAGTCATGGTCTACCAGACGAGCTCGTTAACCATTATATCGAACAGTGGTGCCTATGAAATGGAGAAAAATGGAGATAAGAATGTCGGCTTTCGAAATTTCGTTTCACTCTACTTCGATTTTACTGTAGTGCAAGTGTACCCCGTTAACCGAAATGGCGTAAATCGAAGAAGAGAAAAAAAGACTCTGACGCTATTTTCATGACAAATGTTTAGACCTGTTACATTCCTTAGTTCCACCAGTCCATGCCTTCACTAGTGTAAACGGTCGACTAAACCTTTCATATTCCATCGCTAAGGAAGAAGTTCCGCTCAGACTGTTTCTTTTCCATAACTATCACTTCATGGAACAAACTCCCGAGAGGATGCTTTCCCTATTGCTATGATCACTGCTATCGCTTCAATCTCGAGTCAACCGTTATCTGTTCCATGCATTGACATAATATGAACTTTTTACTTGTTTTATGCCCTTACAACAACCTTATTTAGTAACGCTATATCTTGATTAATTTGTTTTCTACGGTTTATCAACCTTTTGCAGGTTATTTAAAGCCAGAAAATAATTTTAGATTGCCAAAAAAATTTAATAATAATAATTGAGCGACAAAAGTTTTACTAATTAACCCATAACTGGGGAGAGAAGATGCGTATTCATATCTCTCTCAAGGATATTTGCGCATGCGTGACTAAAACGAACTCGACTGGAATTGAAACTCGGTCATCCGATTAACAATCCCGATTCATTATCCATTGCACCACCTGCATATCCAAACTTACAGCATCTGGTATTCCCAGGTGGTCAGCCATCTAGATAGTGACCGGGTTCTACGTTGCTTAACTTCGTCGTAAGGGAATAGGTGTTTCAACGTGATATGGTCGTAGGACCCCTTATACATTGAGTGGCTATTGGGTCTTGTATTGGGTGATCATCAGTATATTACCATTAATTTATATCGGGAAAAATTAGCTTCCATGCCTGCTTGCCTAGATGTCGAAGGTTGTAGCTTGTCTTAGACTGTGGCTATGAGGAAGGCTTGAAATACGATAGTATGCATAACTGCTTAGCCTTTTTGCAGGAATTCAAAGTATTTTGAAAACCGGTCCTCAAAACTACGTGCCCTTTCAAAATTGACGTTATATTTTTTCCTAATCATTGAAGTACTGTCAACTGAAGCGAAAATATCACGCAAGGTTATTATCCTTCGCTTGATGCTAGCTAGGAAACATTTTATAGGGATGTTCTATTTTGGGATTTTGTTAAAAATCATTCACCCCACACACACACACACACACACACACACACACACACACACACACACACACACACACAAAGCAAAGTGACGAAGCCCCTATGACGCAACGTGGATGTGTTACTCAATGAAATAAACGGAGAAAAACGAGAGGAGAGAGAGGACGATAGAAGAACATTTGACATGGAGCGTGAGACGAGGGATAACTCGTAGACCACGTGACTTCAAGCTCTGGGTATCGTTCTTAGTAAAACAGCTACCACACTGCGATCTATTGAGACTAAGCCCTCGACCGACTCGATTCGTCCTCCTCGGTGGACGACCGGGTCGATTGACGTTGCATTTAAATTTCGGGTGACCGTATTTGACAGGGAAGCAAGATACCAGAAGAGAGTTCCTCAAGCCAGAAGTACGAGAGAAGAAACTATTAGCATAGAACCTACGGTCACATCTAGATTCAACAGCAAAATGATAAGACCTATCTGCTTATCTGCATTCAAGTCTATCAAAAGGGAAAGCTTATAACAATTGACATGAAAATATTTATAGAAAATGGATGGGAAGGTATGTTACGGCGGTAGAAAAGTAATTGAAGCCGAGATGTCAGGTCAGGACTGATAGTATTGCAGATTTTTCTCTGGATCTTTGTCAAGATTGTCTAGACAAATAGCAGAAGCACAAGACCAGACCAGACCAGACGTGATAGCAGTATTAAATGCACAGACGAATGGTAGATTTATGAATGTGCAAGATAGATTTTGGTGAGGAAAAATGTCTAGCGTGACACAATAAACCAACTTTCCCAGCAAATGATTCGATATAACCGCTCCAACAGGCGTAAGCAGAAAACATTAGATCGAGTAAGTGCAGTGAGTTATTACCCTAGAGGCTAGCATCAGCCATACTGATGAAAGACAAAAAAAAAAAAAAAAATACAGGTTCTTTAAAATGATGAAAAGACAACGGTTTAGTTTTGGAGGTGTTAAATTTAAAAAAAAAATCTATTCATTGTCCCAGTTAAAAAAATTATGGTCATTTCCGAAATCAGCTGCCAATTTGAAATTATCTATCCTACCAGATCCTATCGAGACGAGAGTAAACAGTTCTCATCAACATAGCTACAGAGTCGAGAACTGATGACATCGGGAAGGTCGTTGATAAAAAATTAGGAACAAAATAGGCCCAAAGATAGACCCCATGGAGCAACCACATAGAAAGATCTAGAAGAGTGGCCATTCAAGACAACCTCCATTTAACGATTTGATAAGAATGATTGAATCAAATCAGAAACTTGCCCAGAAACAGCATATACATTAAAACAAAGAAATACTGTGAATGAAACGAAAGAATCGATTGTAAAACTCAGAGTATAGAGAAAAGAAACAAAAAACAACAATGTATGTTACTAAGATAGAGAAATCGATCGTCACCAATTCTCCCACATTTGCAACCACGTGGAAAACTTTAGCTAAAACAAGACATCATGATTATGATCATTCCCATGACGAGCTGTGATCGTCGGGTGCGTAAACAAAGCTAAACACCTGACCAAATCTCTTCACAAGCTGGATAGGCATTCGTTTAACGTGTCATGTAACGAGGCCTGGCGGAGCTCATTCCCCTCTGAGTCAAACCGCAGCCAATATTCTCCAACTTGAAGGCTCATCTTGTACTCGTTGATTCCTTGTATATATATATGTTGATACATGTATATATATGTATCTATATATGTATATATGTAAATATATATATGTGTAAGAATATATTATAATTATTTTTTTAAAAATGATTCCTTCGCTACATAAGAGTTCTCATGTTTCAAAAACGAGAGCCGAAACCATCAATATAATTATTAAAATTAAATTGACATCAGTATAATTATTCTACCTCAGCTTGACCTCTCCCTGAAGGTGACTGATAGGTGGATAAAAATAGTCGCCCCAGCCGTTTCCATAGTAACGAATGAACACGCTTTTTATAACGATACGTAAATTTCAAAATTGGTTATTCCTGAATTTTCGCTTGAGGATGAAACAGGGCTTGTCACTTTAATTCAATTTAATTTTAATAATTATATTGATGGTTTCGGCTCTCGTTTTTGAAACATGAGAACTCTTATGTAGCGAAGGAATCATATTTTTAAAAAATATAATTATAACCTAAGCTCTACTTCTGTATGGAGAACTTTTTTTTTCTTTTTTTTTAAATAACAACAAAATTACTAAAGAACTCTGGATTATTTACCAAACGTGTTCTTTCCTATTTTTCTACATACCTGCACACATATATGTGTAAGTATATATGTATATATATATGAAATATATATATATATCTACATATATATGTTTGTTTGTGTGTATACTGAGATAGATAGAATAAAGGCTCAGAAATGATTCAACATAGTTCTCGAGATAGATAGATAGATAGATAGATAGATAGATAGATAGATAGATAGATATAAATAGACTGAGATAGATGGCAAGACTGTCAATATTCTGATGCAAATAAGTTGATAATTGGGAAATGCAATTTCTCGAGTGATTTGTATCGTACTCTTGTTTTTTTCGCTGAGCCTCAAAAATCATAACGGTGACAATAAAATAGACCCTTGGTCACAAATCTCAAACCAGATGTCATTGCAAACCCTGACTAGAATTTCCATGCAAATTCTTCTTTTGACGAATAGCTACTGACACTACAGAAACCATTCAATTAACAGCAACACTCTAAGACATTATTAGAATCATTAGGCTCACTCTGCTCCTAAATTCATCAGCCGCCATCACCAATATATATATAGATATAGATAGATAGATAGATAAGATAATCCTAAGGAGCCAGGTAAACCTACCTAGGTTTCACCTAAACGGACCATGCTTGATTAATAATTTTTCTGCTTAAAATCTTTATACAAATTCATTTTCTCGACCATTATAGGAATAAATACATATAAAGAAAAATTATTTCTAGAACAAATATACATTTGAACAATTTAAACAAATTAATTTCTAGAACATTATAGAAATTAATAAAGCAAATACATTAAATTCTTTTGCTTATTTGTAGTTTTAGGTGATGTGATATAATAACATTTTTTAAAAAATTTTAACAAAACTAAAATGTTG